TACATTGTTTAACACATTTGTCACATACTTGTCATCCACTTTACAGTCCAATTTAACCGTGCCTTTGCCAAGAGCTTCAATCTTATTCTCACCAATACCCGTAATACTGTGGTTTGAGAGCGGGGTAAAAGCACTGAACAATTCTCTTGAATTGCAGACATGAGATGTGGTTCCAGAGTCAGCAATCCAATCACTGTGCTTGAACGAATTTGCTATAAGGCATTTAGAATCAGTTTTCTCAGACATATATGCCTGATCTGCTAAATCATTGTTCGTAGCATTGGATGGGTTGTCTTCAGCCTGGTGAGCCTTGTCTTTGGTCTTGGATTTAAATTTCCCTGAGGTTTGCCTTGGTCCTTGGCCCTCGCGATCTCCACCCTTTGCAAAACATTTATGTTTGCAATGATATTTCTGACCACAGTTTGAACAAGTGCTGTCTGAAGGGCAATTACAACCAGTGGAATTATTTGTGGACATGGGGTTTCGGTTCGAACTCGAATTCGATCCCCTCGAGACTAATGAAGAGTCTGCGCCCGATTTTTCCAAGCGGCGGTGATTTTCCTCCAGGGTAATTGCAATGAGTTCATAGGACTGGATTGGAAGGGTAGATACTAGCAAAGTTGGTGCCTGAGAAGTACCAGTAGAAGCTGGCAGTAGCCTGAACAGCAGAAAAGTTGGCGCCGAGATAAGCCGTAGTGAACTTGTCCCAGTTTCACTGCGTTCCCACCCCCTGTAGACAGACCTTGGTCTACCTCTGTCTACTTCTGTCTACCCTCTGTCTACCAGGGTAGACATATGTCTACCACGGCGAGTAGACACATATTAGTGTACCTCCGTCTACCCCTGTCTACCCCTGTCTACCCTAGGTAGACAGCCTTTGGCTACCTCCATCTACCTCAGTCTCCCTAGGTACACTGACCCTGTCCACCCATGCCAGGCTAATTTGGGCTCACCTCGTTTATGGTTCACTGTGAGCTCCTCTTAAAGCGGATTTGTCAGCCAGACTATGTCTACCTTGGTCTACCTTGGTCTCAGGTCTGTGTACCCCATCTACAGGGTAGACACAGGTAAACTGGGTATGTCTACTCATCATAGACTTGGGTAGCCGAACAGGTCTGTCTACCCTGTGTCTACCCTAGTAGACAGACCCTCTGTCTACTGGGGATTGGAACACAGTGTTTTCCGGAAGGGAGGTAAGGAGTAGGAAAGTGAAATCATTGTTTCCAAAAGTTTACATGGCCGTTTCAGTAGCTCCGTGAATTATCAGTTACAATTTTATAGTGCAATGAAAATAGTGGCTGTGTTGAAGTCTTTTTTAAAGGTTTCACTACATTTTTTGTGACAAGTTAGTGGCTGTGGTACCGGCCAATGCCGAGCGTGCTGCTAACGCCCACAGGCATTGGTTCGAACCCGGGGATTGGATTCTTTTTCCGGTGGCTTTTTTGGAGGTTTTCCCTCCGGGCATGTAAGTAACAAGCAGCCAATGCATATCACCTCCCTGGATCCAGTGTATACCTCCAAAATTTTCTTACTCAAATGCCTGATCAATGATTGAACAGTGCAAATGTTCAATGCTTCTTGGTTGTTTCTTCTTCCACAGGTACAAGGGCCTCAAATTTCGACAGAAACACTGTAACACACCTCGAGATGATTCGGAGTACAGAAACAAAATTCCATGGAAATGTTGAACTGTCAGAAACTTTCAACCTTCGTAAACCGCTGGGTGTTTCTCTCTCTGGTATCAACCACTTTTCTTCTAGGCCCCATCCTGGGACCTGGTTTGCAATCAAACCTTTATGGGTGGAATCCAAACCTAGGTGTTCTCTGTTGCTTTGTTCCTGCTGCCAGATTTCACATTGTGGGCCATATCCACCTACTACTGTCTTCAATACCCAGGTCCACTGAGGAGGAAAGGAACTAGAAATGGAATACTTTTCAGCCAAGTACCCAACGTGAAATGTGCCTTTTTCTGCTGCAGCCACCTATCCGGCTCAATTACAAGTCGTGGAGGCTAGCACCTCCTACGTTTGCTTGGAAGTTTGTGGGAGCAACATTTGTTTACCGTGCTCACTACACCTGCAATGGAAATGGAATCCACCAAGTGTATGATTTCCAAGTCCTCTGTCCTTTTTTGAATGGATATTGCTGGTGAATTATGTACTTGAAGGTCTCTTGGTGTGCCATGTGGATTTCAAAACTGAGATGTTTGGAAACTTCCATCACATGGATACCATTTTGCCCAAGGGGTCTGGATTTCTTTGTTCTCTCGTTGTTATACTGGTAGGCTACACCTATGTAAAAAATCTAAGGGATATGGGAAGAGGAAGCTTTTCCGATTTAGTTGCCAGTCCATCAAACTCAGAGGGATTTTTGAAAGTGTCCATGTTCTGCCATCCCATCTCAACCTGGACCTCCAGGAAGATTTGAGGAGTTGTATGTAGTAAATATAACACCTTCTGTCCCCTCAAATTTTTTTGCTGGGACGGGGCCATCGCGCTCTGGAGGAAAGTGGTGAACTGTCACCAAGAGTCACAGTGAATCAATTTGTCACACTTTTGATTACTTCCCTCCAGAATGTGATGGCCCCGCCCCGGCAAAAAAATCTGAGGGGACAGAAGGTGTTATATTTACTACATACAACCCCTCAAATTTTCCCGGAGGTCAAGGTTGAGGTGGGATGGCAGAACATGGCCACTTTCAGAAATCCCTCTGAGTTAGATGGACCGGCAACCAAATCGGAAAAGCTTCCTCTTCCCATATCCCTTAGATTTTTTACATAGGTGTAGCCTACCGGTATAGCAAAGGATTCCACAAAAAACCGGAGCCAAAAAGCTTGAGGGACGGGAGAGAAAAAAGAAATCCAGACCCCTTGGGCAAAATAGTATATCATTTAAAAAAAAAAAAAGTACGAGATTTGCCGGGCTATGCCACGGCCCACACCCCAAGTTCCTTAACAGTGACAAGCTGTTTCCACATTTGCGCAGAGATCGTAGCTCCTGAGATGTGTATCATCTGTGAGTCGCCTATCGTCAGCTCGAGTTGAGTCTGTGCGCGAGCATCGTTATCGTCCCATTCTTCCATCAGTTTAAGTTGAGCAGCGGTCGGTGTAGCGGTGCGACATACTTCAGCAGACCTCGATCCCTCAAAATTGAGGTGATACGACGCTTCCAGCCTAGCCAGTTGGGATCCTGGAGCGGCTCAATTCGATACATGCTAGATGAACCTTGATTGGTTGGATTCGACATTTATTTGATGTATGTAGGTGGTAAGACGGAAGTACTCGGAGAAGTAATAGAGGTAGATGTGTAAACTGTCTTCAAAGATATAGGCCAAGGCCCATAACCTGTTGAGAATTTACGAGTGGTGGTTGTTGATAAAGAACCGGCAGAGGCTCTTCGAAGGTTCACACAAAAGTTGTAGGAAACAGCAGATAATAATTGTTAGATTAATTACAGGGGAATGCATGGCTACTTATATATGTAGACTAGGAGTCAGGAAGAGTCATTCTGACTCATGGAAAAGAACATAGTAGAATAAGGGAGAACATACGGGGATGTCCGAGTTGCCCGATGCCCGAGGCTATACGGTTCCGGGCTATGATTCAACAGTCGTAACCTCGTCTGAGCTATGTATCACCTCTGATTAGATGTACAGTGAGTGGCAGACACAAGAGTGGGTGCGAAAAGAGTCCCGATATTGCACGCGGTGGACGTTAGATGAGACGGCGGCAGAGATACAGGGGGTGCGTAGAGATGAGCGAGAGGCAGTAACGCCTAAAAATGAAAGATCGTCGGTCAGAACAATAAAGAAGGATGATGTGGCCCTACTATTCGGATACTGGGAATCGAACCCAGGCTTCCCGCTTCAAACGCTTTACGACGTAAGAGCAGCAGGTGTGCGCCGTACACCAATTCCGAGTTATCGCCTCTGATTCGACGCAGAGTAAGTAGCAGAGTTTTAGCATGCGAATACGATAGTTGCCCGGGGTATCGATATCGAGTTTTGGCGCACGATGGTGGGCGTTAGATGAGACGACGGCGGAAATGCAGGGAGTACGTAGGGATAAGAGAGGCAGCGCCGCCTCAATGAACATGTTCGGCCGGAACAATAAAAATGGAGGCCGTCAAATTAATCGGACGCTGAGAATCGAACCCAGGCTTCCCGCTCTGTAATATAGGACAGACATTGGATTATCAGCGGGTGTGCGCCATACACCACGTCCGAGCTATCACCTCTGATTAGAGGTACAATGAATGGCAGACCTTGGAGCGTCGAATGCGGGTGCTTAATTGCCCGGGGCGAGATCAGCGTGCGTCGACACTGTGAAATGAAGTGGGTGCGGAGGGATGATAGAGAGGGCGAGATCCTCAGCACCGCCCAGATGAAATATGTTCGGGCGGAACAATAAAAATGGACACTGCCAGACTATTCGGACACTGGGAATTGCATCAGACTCCCTCCTTCCGTCACTGGTCCGCGCCAAGGAACAGCGGGTGTGCCATCCACCACATGTGAGTTGCCGGCTCTGTTGCGCATCGGAATAGGTCAGTGAGTCTCTGGGACGTACTTGAGCATTTGTGTCGTCGGGCGATATCTGTGCGTGTCCCGGATTATTCCCTGAAATCTGTGGATCTGTGGGAGAGTATTTATCAGAATCAATCTAGCAAGATCTGGAACAATAAAAAGGGACGATGACAGACTATTCGGACGCTGGGAATCGACCCCGCTTCACTCGCTTTCTTATGACGTAGGTGTGTGTCGTACACCAATTCCGAGTTATCACCTCTGTTCTGCCGTGCAGTAGGTAGCAGAGTTATGTGGTGCGAATAATTGACTGGGATATCGATATCGAGTTGCCTTGCCACACGGTGATGGACGTTAGATGAGGTGCCAGGGGAGATGCGGTGCGTGCGTGTGGATGATGGAGGGGCCGATATCCTAAATGTCGCATAAATGAAGGATCTTCCGTCGGAACAACAAAAATGAACAAGTTTGCCACATTCGGACACTGGGAATCGAACCCAGGCTTCCCTCTCTCTACTGCAGATCTCTGATTACTATAACGGGTGTGCGCCGTACACCACGTCCGAGTTATCAACTCTGGTTCGACGAGGAGTAAGTAGCAGAGTTATGTGATGCGAATAATTGCCTGGGGTATAGTTGACCTGGCGCGCGGTGGTGGACGTTAGATGGGGCGGCGGCGGAGATGTGGTGGGCGCATAGGGATGAGAGAGCGGTAGTAACACCTAAAAATGAAGGATCATCGGTCGGAACAATAAAAAAGGCCGCTGTTGTCCTAGTATTCTGACGCTGGGAATCGAACCCAGACTTCCTGCTTCCTGCTACATGGAGGACTTCAGCAGAATTGTCAGCGGATGTGAACCATACACCACGTCCGAGTTATCAACCTCTGATTTGACGCGCAGTAAGTAGCAATAATTTTTGCCTAGGGTTCAAGTTGACTCGATGGGCGGTGAATTAGACGTCGTCAAACAGAGGCGCTTAACGCTTAGATGAAGGATCCGCGTCCGAACTTGGATAAAAAATCAGACATAATGAAATATCCAAAATTGAACACGCCATGTGGACAGGAATCTGACCTGCGAATGGACATTCGTGACGGCAGCAATGGTGATTCGGCGTTGATTAGGGAGAAATTAATCTCTTCGATGAGTATGGCTAGCTAGAAGCGCTGGAAGTATGGCGATCCGACATCGTGTGAGAAAATATAAAATTAAACCTGACGGGACACACCCGGAATAGCTCATCCGCGTAGGGTAGATGCGGCCGCATAGATATTTGGTAGACTAGCGGTGCAGAGTGCGGTATGCCACGTCGCCTAGATGGTCAGCAAGACTGCGTTGATTAGGTGGAATGTGAGTCCCGCTGATAGATAGATAGATGGGAATGGAGGCAGGAATAGGCGTGGCCGGGAGCAGTGATATGAATACTCCGCAGTTTGAGTTGCCTAGCTGCGATGGTCCGATATGAACTACGATGAGCGTGGTGGGCGCGAGGCTGGGAGCTGCAGTGTGCTCCCCCAGTGAGTCAACCGGAGTCGTTGTAAGCGAGTAGGCCAGAGAACGTAGTTGAGCCGAGAAACGATCCGGAGGCGAGCGCGAGAAAGGGACCGGGTTGATGTCAAAGCCGTACACGCTGCGTCCTCGGCCGAGCCCGATTCCGAGTCCCTGTATCCGAGTCACCGACTGTCCAGTGCCCCAGTCCATCTCGTAGTGCGGCGGATCCTGATTCCTCCATCTTAGGACACCCCCAAACGCCACAACTGGGCAAACGAGATGATGGAATCAGATAAAGACAAGAAAGGAAATACGAAAGCAGGTACCAAATCGATGACGGGATTGATGCCGCGGATGCAGGCGAGCACGTGGCGCCCCATAAAATTTGCATCGGTGGGGTCCGAGCCACTCTCTCCCTCCACCACCATCTACCTGGGCCCGTTTTCTGTCTGTGAGCCGTACGACTCGCTGTTTCGGTCCCCTGGATTGGCTAGTGGAGTCTAGGCTGACATAGAACCCGCGGATCCGCACCTGAAGGAGACTAGGAAGCGGAAGCACCCGCAGACGGGATTAATTTCCGTCTACGCCTGGGCGAGGTTGCCGGGGATAGCGCATACTTTTCGAGGACGTGGCCTGAAGCATACATCTATCCTCCACTCGCCGACCTCCTAATTTCTACGAAAAATCATGACGGAATACGACTTTTCCCCCGAGGCGTACCACCAACACCTCGCCACCCAGGCGCGGATCGCCCGCTGGGCACACGACACGCACTCCGTCCCCCAAAAAGACCCACACGCGCCACCAACGCCCGCGGGGTCCACTGCTGTACCTCTGTCGCGCGAGTCGTCCAAGCTGTCACGCGGCTCGCCGAAGCGGGAGTCAAGGCGGACGCGGTCCAGCGAGCGGGACAGCAGAAATCGAGATCGAGATAGCAGAGACTGGGACAGAGACCGCGCGCGTTCGAGCGACAGAGACCGGCGGAGGCACCGCAGCCGCACGCCGCCGCCGCCTCTACCCTCACCGCACGCCCAAGTCCGCCTGCAGCCCCCGGCGCGCCCGCAGACCGCGCCCCCGCGCCCCGTCCAGCGCGCGCCGACGCCGTACTACCCGCCGTCCGACGAGCCGCACCACCGCCGCACGCGCTCGAGCTCGCAGACCCCCATCGCCGTGCCTCCGAAGCCGACGCGCACGCGCAGCTACTCCGTCGCCCAGGCCCCGCCACCCCGCCAGCCCGTGCGCTCCAACACGTACCCGTACGCGCCGCCCGCGGGGTACATGTACGCTGCGCAGCCCCAGCCTCGGTATCCGCACCATCCGTCCCCGGCGTACGCGGTCCCGCCGAGCTACCCGGTGTACCCCGTGGCGATGGCGCAGCCGCAGCCGGTGCGGAGCCCCACGCGGGAGGTCCCGCTGATCAAAAGGGTGTTTGGGTTTGGGGGCGGTGGGGGGAGGCGGACGCCGCGGAGGGGCGACTCGTACTGAGGGTCCATCTGCGGCGCCCTCGCTTCTGTCACCCGCGCCCCCACCCACCCACCCACCCGCCCGTGTTCACATCTCATACCCACGTCCTTGTACATAGATTCTCCTATAATACTCCTTGTATTACATTCCTACCTACCTTCTGCGTCTATATTACAATGTTGCATCTTGGTGTCATCTGAGCAGTATTTCATAGCCGAGTCAATTGCAAGTGTACGTTTTCCGATATTCATTTTTTTTCACCATTACAACTCGAATTTGGTCCGATACTCGTATTCCTGGTATGTAGTCCATTTTTAAGCACGGAGAACCTTGCCCCGGTTCTTGAACCCGAGATGCTTTCTGCGTACCCAAAAAATAAGTTCTCTTCTTTTCTAAAAGTCTACCTGGGCTTTGTGAATCATCAGTTACACTTTTCCAGTAGAAGGAAAATAGTGACTGTGTTGAAGTCTTTTTCAGAGCTTTCATTAGATTTCTTGTGACTACCTAGTGGCTGTGCGTTCGGCTAATTCCGAGCGTACTGATGAATTCCTTTTTTATTCGGTCTTTCTTCTCATCATGGACATGACGAGAGGCCAATATGCCTCAAAATGTGTGGCCCTCTTCCACATTCCTACTAAATAAGTTGAGTAGCCCGCTTGCGCGGCAGGGCCCGCTATCCAGGTTATACAATACTCTGAATTTCATTATGCCATGGTCTTAGAGGCTTTTCAATAAAGCATATTTGCAGCCCCCAAAACGACTGTTTGAGGCCAAAAATGATGGCTGATCGCTTAAAAATGATGAGACCGAAAGAGAAACAGTGACAAAGGAAATTCACTGGAAAATCAATACGCACCCTGGTGGCCCAGTTTTTGTGGGGTTGAGCATAGGGAATGTGCTGGATTGGTTCCTCTCACATCCATTCATGTTGGAGGAAGATGTTTGAGAGAACCAAATGAAGAGGGCGGCCCAAGTCACATCAGTCACTTCCTTCCGCTTAAAAATAATGGGTGATCGCAGAAATATGAGCCTCGATTTTGGGCGTTGCAAATATGCTCTAATCGGTGCAAAGTGCATTGGAAGTCATTATGTATGCCAACAACCCGAGGCAGTTCATTACATTGAAGGTGTTGTCCGTGGATGAACTCGCGGGAATTGAGGTTTGTCTTGCACTCCACGACACCATGTGTGTCAAGACAGGGATTATGCAACGGGTGAGTTATCCCGTCTGTCATCTCGACCTGAAACTGATTAATTTGAATACCAGGCATATTCGATCAAGACAATTATGAAGCTTCCCCACGACATGTTGGATCGGAAAGGCATGGGGTACCTTTGTAATGTCTCTCCAGTCGGTTGTCCGCTGTCTTGGTGATCTTCCCCTCAACATTTTGAGGAATTCTTCTTTAGAAATTATCTGTTTCAATCTACCATTCCCTGAAGATTACACGTACTCAAAATCGTAGTTGTTGTCTACTAAGCACCACATTATCTACACCCAAATTAAATACATCGCAAATGTAATTGGATCCGGGTGGGGAAGATCCTTGCTGGTTAGACAAAGCCAGTCATAAGTAGCGAGCATATAAGCCTGTTGGCGACAGATTAGGCTCAGTTGTCAAACTGTTAGAGACAATGTACCCTGATTTTCTTCCCTCTCAAACCGGATCAATTTCACCCATACTGCCCAGCATGTTCCCACCTTCCAACATCAACGGTGTAATTCAAAGTCGTCCATATTCTCGGATTGATATTCAATATAAAATTTATATCATTGTATCAGTTAGACATTCGCAAAAGTGAATGAGATGCCGTACAAAAGAAGTCCCAGGCTTTTCATCGAATGTATAGTTCATTGATCCCATGAACCATGTCGAACCCACGCAGTGTCCCTAATAAGATTCACTCACTGCCCCACACAATTTTTGCAAACTCACCAACTCAGTGTTCTCCACGGCAATGATAGCTTCCAAGGCCATAAACTGATTGCAATAAAGCTCCTGGGCCTGTAAGGAACCTGAAGAAGCGGGATTAGATATAATCTAATCCCACCTTATCTCGATCTTGACATATTGCAGACCCGATTGGGGACTGCGTCATTTGTATTAATCAGCCTATTATGGGTTGCAATGTGTTATTAGCTATCAACTATATTGGGAGAACTATGAAGGACTCTGTACATACATACAAACGGGGATTTACCCCTTGAATTTGTACCGCATTAAAGACGACTTGCAATATACCTTGCAGGTTCTCCTTGTGTGAAATATCAAGGCCTCGTAGATCTAAGGCACCCGTGCGCTTTACAGGGCCACACAGGAAATGTTATCAAGACACCATATTTGAGCAAGGAAAGATAAGTTTGCAATTTTGACAGAGTCAGACGCAATGGCAAAATGAACATTGACACGCACTGTGGCTGTAACTTCCTCAATTTCTCCGAAGACAGCAGGCAGAAACGGTTCCAGCCCATACCACACACCAGGGATCCGCATGTGCTCCATGTGGGGCAGTCGTCTTGTACGAGAATATACTTCCCCCTTTGGAAGATCTATCCCGGGTAGCCACAAAGTCTTTCCCCAATGAGGACCTCGATATTGCATTGAAAC